ATTTATATATATATATATATAAACCTTTATTTTAACAATATCTATACTACATACAAAAGACATGCAAATATGATGAATGATAATACAAAATCGCAAAGCTATAAAAAGGATATCATGTAAATATTAATACGTCTGAGAACAGTTTCTCTTCCGTAAGAATTCTAATGACATAACAAAGTAACGCGCATATAAAATTCCGTAATGAAGATAAAACTTCAATATTCTCAACTTAATATATATATATATATAAATAAATTGGATACAGAATTCCAAATTTATTTTCTATGATCAAACATTTATATGTAAAAGCTATATAAGCATGTATAAAAACTATGCAAACTGTATAAGCCACTAATTCTACATTAGATTAATTTACGTGATGTCCCTCCTAAAGGCACGCATTTTCCAACCACACCATAGCGACGTTAAATAGTGAAAGCGCACTACTCAATATCCCGTACGTTCCCCTAAAATCTGTTCAGAATATCGTCGTCATCGTGTGCTCCATATACACACAACGATACCGAACCGTAATTATGAAAATCGCATATCCTATAGTACCTTATTGTATCATACCTGCGGTGGGATTCGTCCGCGAGGGGGGTGTCCCTGCAGGGGTTGCGGCAAACGACCAGGCTGTCCGTAATTTGGCCCCCACTGGCCCACCACGACTCCCGCGATTTCCAACTGACCGCCGCGCGATGGAATGGGACGTCGCATCAAACCGCGTTGTGGTATTGCACCGCTACCACGACCGCGTATCAATCCGTCATTAATGGCGCAGCCAGCGGGTAGGATATTCGAGGGAACGGACACACGAATACCTGTAACGGTGAGAAACAGAATTATTATGCAAGTCGTAAAGAGAAAATGAGTGATACAGATAAATAAAATAAAGATAATAATTATTTCGTTCTAGAAATTATCTTTTTGATATGTAAGATTTGTTTTCTCATTATATGAAATTCGCTGTAATGTGAGAAATATATTTTTCTTACACAATGTTTATTGATTTTCTGTATAGAATTTTGTTTTATTTAATTTTTTCTCCTAATGTCTAAACAGTTAATATGCGTATTCTTTTTATTCAAATATTACGATCAAAATTATCGAGAAACATTGTGTGTAATAAACGCTTAAGTAAATTGTGATATACATTATTAAAAGGCTTGTTTATGAGCTTGATATTTTATTGTAGCCTTGAGATTCGTAAGAATCGAGGCTATATCAATTCTCACGAAGCAATTGTTTTATTTTACTTCCAAAAGCATCTTATTATTGAAGATCGTAAGATGCTAAGGAAATTGGAAGAGAAAACAAAGAGAAAAAAGAAGAGAGAAGCATCAAGTGACATAAAAAATCAAATTTGTGCTTTTTACTTAATGTACAAGTGTTATACTCTTTAACGTGCAAACATGTTGTACCAATTGAGCTACACGAGTTTTTACCACATTGATGCTTTTCTCTTAAATACAACGTAATTTAATGTCATTGAACGAAAAATATCAGTTAAACAATCATCCAATCGCTATCCCACGTACCTGGCGTAACAGGTAAAGGCGGACGTGCAAATACAACGTTAATTCCCTCGAGTATCGCCTTTCTCATCCTTTCAACCTTCACCACACGATCAATGTGGCCACTGCAGAGTTCCAATAAGTTCTTGGCCATAGTGGCGCGTGCCAACGTATGATGGAACAATTTGCCGTCAAAGTAAAGCCAAGGGCAGCACATCAACCACGGAATCGGCGCGCCGCACGCATCGTTCGCTAACAATGCGGTCTCGACGCCAGCCATAAACAAGGTAGCTAATTGCACACCGCGTGACGTCACCAATGGAAGCTGTACGCAAATGAGAAATTAATTGTGGGCCTGCTCGCAGACGACCAATAGCCATAAAGAGTGTACAATGTTCAATTTTACCTGCAGATCCTGCAAATACTGAGCGTTCATAAGCTCCGGTGAGAAGGCTTGTGCAATGAAAGCGTCTAACTCCTGACGGCGTAAGATTTTTATTTTATCGGAGAAAGACATAATGTATCTGCGAAAAAAAGAGATAATCAAAAAGAAGTTTATTGATTAGATTTAATCGCAATTAGTTTCGGAATTAAATTAGAAAACAATCTAAATAACAGTTTGAAACAATATTCACCTCAAAACACAAGCCATGACCAGCAGATGTTGAGGCACGTAAGAGGTATTTAACATGAGAGGTGTGTCCGATCTCATGCAGGTCAGGAATCCCCTCAGTCTGCGCCGCTTGTCATCTATTACTGTGCTGAAGAGTAGGAGATTTTGTCAGTTCACAGACATCGCGGATTCGTTCGTGGTAAATGTATTGCTTTCCAAAATTAATTTGCAATATTACGCAACTTACATGATTTAACTGGTTAGATAAACCGCTTACCCAAACCATAAACGTTGAATTGTAGGCACGCCCCATCCGATCTGCTCCGCTTTAACTTGTTCCGGCGTCTGATACGGATTGGACTTGGACCATACCCATTCCTTTATTATCACGTCTGGGACTTCGACCTTCTCACTATCTGTTGAGCAAATTCGCAAAATTAAGATCGACGTTGCAAAGGATGATGAATCTTTGCAATTTGTAAAATTAATGCGTAACACTTACCGCCCTTCTCTTTACTCTTTGTGGCTAGATACATTCGGTGATGAAGATTGAACAGGATCGCATACACCATTTGTCGGATCGGTCTGTAAATCACGTGAATAGAAGGAAATTCACGATGATTTTCGTCCTCCAAGAGGATCGGCAACTTGATTTCACCAGCGATAAGAATTTGATAGATGTACGGTGACATTAATCCCTTTTGATGACGTTCTGAGGCAGTACGCATGACTTCCGGCGATGTGCTGGGAATATTGGTCGTTTTCTCCGGTTGTCTTGTCGAGTCGGCCGTCGCATGGGATGGTGATGTCGCTGAAGAGCTACTGCTCGAACTTGAAGAACTTATCAAGAGATTGTGTGTCCCGTTAATAGCGTGTCCGTCATCTGTTTTAAAAATTTCAGCCGTTTAATTAACACAAAAAAACAATTATGTAATAAGTTATATAACAATAAATTATTCTCCATTCATTAAATCAAACTTAATTTCTTAAATTACGTTTATGAGGCAGTTTTAATGAGTACTATCTGCCTTCTAGATTTTGTAAATTACTTTTCAATATTTTATATAATGCAAATCGTCACGTAAAGTCGATTCATTTAACTGATTATTTACTTTGTTGTTCTTCTTCGATACGTATAGTATCTGCGTCTCCGTGACCCTGAATTCCGGGTGGATCAATGACGATTTGCGGCGCCGCCTTTGCATTAGCCGTCGCCTGTTTGTACGCATTCAAGCTTTCGCGTTCGCTTTCCAAAGTCTCGGAAGCAAATCTCGATGTCTCCAAACTTGAATCGCCGTCCGAGGCTGGTGATGCGTCGGATAAATTCGATTGAGGCTGTGCGCTCGTTTTGGAATCTAGTTTATGAACTAAAGAAAATTTTAGTACAAATATATATTTACTTTTCAATATTATATCAAAATATGAAGACTAATAAATACGTGCAACTACCATTAACTTCTATTTTCTGTTTTAAAAATATTACTATCAACTTTGAATGTTACTTTAAAAATATTAAAACGTTTTTTTCTGAATATTACAGTCTCACCTTTCGTTGGTTTCACAGGCTTGTAGTGTAAAAATCCTTCCTTTGTTCCGTTTAAGTAATATTGAATGGATTGCCTCAACTTGGAACACCTAGGATCGGAGATGGAGCCGAAAACCTTTTGTGACACTACATCCAATTCCGTAGATGGAAGTTCCTTTACAAAATTTGCAATTGTCTTTATCATTTGTTCCACGTTTGTCTTACTTAGCACGTTGGTGCTAATATTAAGCTTCTTATAGAAATCAGCCAAGTCATTTTCGGTCAATATATAATTTCCAAGTAAGGCTGCTAATATACAGAGTCTGTCAGATGGTATGTTGAGAGCTTTGGTGAGTTCAGAAAGCATATATTCCTTGGTATCAAGAGAACCCTGTAATAAGGATATAAGATTTCACTTACACAACGTAAATTACTTTCGTGAAATACAAATGTTAACTTTTTCAAAAATACGTACCTTATATGTAAGCTTCAGTTGCTCCGATGAAAAATACCGCGGAGGATCAAATGCAGCATATTCTGCATCATCAGCTATCAGTCCATTATAATTATTCTCGCGACAGTATGCAATTACTTCCTGATGATGGTCATCCATGCTACATAACTGTTGAAACATCAATATTGTTAATTTATCCAATGCTTAAAAGCTTTGAGAAATGTAACATATATTTTTGTATATTTTTTGATACTTCAATTATATCACTGTAAAAATATATTGAGACAGCCGTTTAACTTACTACTGTGACATTCAAATGCCTGAGAGCCATACGTAAACTGGTCCTTAAACATACTGGAGGAGTCCACCAGATTTTCGGCGGTGGTGTGCCTTTCGTTGCTATGTGTTTTAAGACCTTAATGTAAAAATGATTTCCTTTCGTAAGTTTTATTCTTGCCCAATCGACCCCAGAGCTTGACAGTGCGAAGAACTTACATTATTAACCTTAGCGCGCATTTGCAACTGCTGTTCTATCCAGTCTGCACGTCGTAGAGGTTCAAAACATCCATTAAAGAATACGGCTAACTCCAATCCTGACATTTCTGTCGCTTGGATGAATACCGCCAAAAACTGAATCATACGGTTCCATTGTCCACCGCAGGCCCAGTCTGCAATAAAAGCATCAAATGGATTTTTGTTTAAGATTAAGCTAGCACGTTTTAAAATTATATAATAACATTTAGTTGGCTGTGTTCGTTTTTTATGAACAAGACCCAACCTATTTACATTTGCAAAATATTATTTTGTTAGTTACCTGAGAAATATCCACCGTATAATCGATCTAAGCAACATTCTCCATCAAGAACTAGTCTTAATTTGCCAGAATTGTGTAGCTGTTGTCCTTTAATTACACGAGTGCGTTGTCGTTGAGGACCCAGACGTGCGATTTTCAGCAAGTCCACAGCCACTGATCCCCCTTGGCAAGTGTTTAAGAAAAGGTGCAAGTAATCAATGCCCATGTTTTCAGTACTTCCAAGTTGCTCTCCAGTCAAGTTGATTTGCTTGAGTTTTTGTTTAATATATATATAATAATGTTGCTATCTTTTTTTTTTTTTGAGTTGCTTATCCTTGTGTTTTAAGACCAATGATGTGTTTAATCTTTTACGTCTGTTTTACTTTCCTGAAGTGTTTTAACATGTGAAGAAACCTAATTTCAATTTCAAAAGTTTCAATCTGCAAAGGAGAAACGCTATCATGTACCTTCAGATGTAACATTGTACGCACAATCAAACATATGACTTATATATACATTCTTAATTATATATACGTTTACATTATGTTTCATATTATGCACATATGAAAAGAATTAAGCGACTAATCATTCGAAACCACCCGCAAGAGTTGCTACTTCGCAGACGCCCCTTCCCCCTCAGCGGCCTAACCAGGTATTTCCGCAGAGGTGGACGGGCGCAGCTGTACCGCGGACTGACGTCGCGACGTTTGCAAGAAACGCCCGTCAACGAGGAGCGTTCGCGTCAGAATATCATTAAGGAGCATGCATACGCGCGAGCGACGCCATTTACTTTGTTTATGCACACGTTGGGCTGTCGCGGGTGCTGCACGGATGTTCCCACGTTAGTGCCGGCTAGCTTACGAAGCCGGTCACCGGAGATAATCGGTGGGTTTCAAAAAAGGGATTGTCGCTCGAACGAGAACGAGCGAAGGATCGCGGTGAAACGTGCCGGGGATAAACGTAGGTATCAGGATGGTCGTGTCGGTCGTCGGAGAATCGGTCGTGTTAGACGTCGCGCGGCGATGGCACTCGGGGACATTCATGAGCGGGACATGCAAATTCGTGTGGATTCGCGACCACGCAATCGCCTAACAGCGATCCGTGTTCGCCGCCGCGCGAGCGTTACGTACTTACGTTAAATTAGCGATAATCATCGTGGTCCTAAAGAAACACAAAACACATGGACTTTTCGGAGTTGGAATGAGTTGACGTCGGAATCGAAAACGGAAATGACCACCCTTATGGTGGCGGCGCGAGCGACGACCGCCTGGTGCGCCACGCGCTCCGCGGCGATCGTTGGCCGTCGCCCTATTGGCCCGCTGATGGATGAAAAAAAAAAGACAAAGGGTGCCGCATTTCCAAATGCGCGGTAACTACCAATCAAAAATTGATACAAATACTGATAAGCAATATGGCTGCTAGAGATAAGCTGATACTATACGCGATGTTACATCTATATCTTGCTACATCATAGATCGACTCCCGGCCGGCCGGCTACACGGCGACCGGAACGGTGCGCAGAATTGTTAGAGATGATTTCGCGACGCATGCGCATTAAAAGCGGTACAATTAAAATACCCATTCAACACTAATAGCGTTTTCGAATAAACGGGGTTTGAACGATCTAGGGTTGATCAATCACTATTTTACTATAAATGCAAGTCTTTCATTGGTGGAGAGGTTGCAATGACGTCATTAACCAATCTTGGGTCGTTCAAATCCTGTATAATCGAAAACGCTATAATAAAGTCCCGCATGGCCTGTAAATTGCAGCTTCTAATTATAATTATATTAAAAGGGGAATTGCTTGCTTTTCTAAAGGATAGTATTTTCTAATCTTTTTTGTTACATATACAAATTTATGCTACTATACAAATGCGCGCTAATTCATTATATTGATAGAAGTTTAATAGAAGTAAAATTTTTCAGAAACTTCGAATACATTAATTCATTGTAGTAATACGTTTTGTATATGCAAATTGATATGCATTTTACAAATTGTACAAAATAGGGTAATCACATTATGATATCTGAATCTGGTGTTTTGGTAGTTCTTAAGAAAAAAAAAATTATCGTAAGCGGATTGAAGCGGATATATTTTTTACAAAATTTTATAAAATTCTTTTAACAATCTTTCAGGTCGTTTCCCTACCATTTCTCTCGCCGTGTAAGTATTTTATTAGTGAAATATAGAACGATTAAGTGAGAGTAATTCACCATCACCAAAACTAATAGTATAACTTAAACGATCACAAGATCACGCAGTGTAATTTAATTTTTATGCGAGATTAATACTGTCCGAATTAATCAGAAATTACTTGGTCGCAGCCTACTAGTGTTTTTGTTGCGCTATTTATTAAGTTTGGACGATTTTAATGTGAAAGTAGCTTTTATTATTGCTTAAATATTATAAATAATTTTTTATAACTTATTATTCCATGTATTCTAATAGATGCCAAAGTATCATCTATGAATATTATGGCACAGAACACAACAATGTGTACCATTAAAATCTGACATATACACTTAAATATTTTTATATATTCCAGTGCTTGCGTGCTGTATGACGTGATTTATGTATCCATCTATATACAGAATATTACTTAATGAAAGATAATAAATTACTTTCGATTATAAACATTTCTCTTTGATCTACTTTTTATACCCTATTTCATATTGTTTGTAAAACAATTGCTTCTAAATTGCAGGGTTTTCCATTAATTCTGCGATAGGATTAAAGCGAAATCTGTTGTTTTAATTTGAAGTCAAATTAAAAACTAAAGGCACTTGTGCTACAATACATATTTTCCAACTGCACATCCCTGAGTTACATCCCTTACGACATTACAGTATCACTTGTATATCGCTGATATAATTACATAAAATAAATAATATACAATTATTCAGTACATACAATATAACGCATTAATTTATTTTTTATAATAGCTGTATAGTAAGAATTATTTGAACATCACATCGAAGTCGAACCTACATCGAGGCCACTTAAGACAAGACAACGTTCTTGTAAACGTTTCATATGTGCTGTTAGACATGCATTTTCTATATACAAGTCCTTCACCAATATATCAGCACTGGCCAATTTATCAGCCTGTTGGAGAAGATCATTATAATAGAAACAAATAAATGTAAATAAAAAAAATATATTATTCAGTTATGTAACAAGTAATTTTAGATTTTCTCATAGAGAGAGAGAGAGAGAGAGAGATAGCAGCATTAAATGCAGCTTAAAAAATCATATTACAGACAAAACTTGATTCTAACTTCGACAAACAAATATTTAATCTACGTGTTAATCAAACTGCCTTTTGCCTGATAAAAAAAGTAGAGATTTATTTGAAAAATCTAAAATTACTTATTATACAATCCAATAGATAAATACTCTTGCACGCATTTTCCTCCCATTTTTTAATTAAACAAAAAATGTAAGTAAATGTAAGTAAAAATTAAATAAAAAAGTAAAATTGGATCAAAATGTCAAATTAACAATGTATAAACACGTACCTGATCAACAGTCGTTTGAATTTGTATTTGGAGTTTTTCTTGGGTATTACGAAGAAGGCACTGCAATTCAAATACTTCTGTTTGATGCTGCATCATTACACCTGTAAAGAAAAGGAAATGATTGAAAGAAATGAATAACACATTTTACCCGAAAAAATCTCTGAAATGGCACTTACGTTGCAATAATTTTTCAATGTAATGCCGCTTCTGTTTAATATAACGCTGTAAATGCCGCTTCTTGCGTTCTTGTTCGTAAAGTTTTATTTTTAACTCTTGCAAAACGCTCATATGGACGCAACTTACATGCTGCTGTGCATTATTCTGCGTGCACGGATAACTAGTTTCTTTCACATCGTGCATCAATTTGAATTCCCCGTCGCACCTGTCTTCCTCTTTCACCGTTAACATGGTCTTAGCGCCAATGTGTGGATTATTTTGATATATTTGTGCTTTTTGATCTTTGTTCATTCCTCTTATTCCTTTTACGGGACATTCGACGTGAGTTTTATACAGATTGTGACCATCGATTTGAACTTCTTGCTTCAATGGCCTGCTATGATCGCTGGATAATGGAAAGTCTGCTAAGGTACGATACGTTTGATTGTTTGTGCATAGATCTATATTCGCGAACAGATCGTTTATTGATGGAATGCTAGATGTGCTAGAGGATTTACAACGCGATGAATCCGACAACATCGGTAAGGAAAGTTCGTCTGGGACTTGCACGTAAGAATCGTTTGTAACCGGCTGTTCTGTCAGTTTTAACTTCTCGCGCAAATCCCCAATTTCTAGATTCTTCTGCGAAATATCGTTTTCAGTTTTTATTTTCCACTTCTCAAACTCATCCTCAAGATCTACGTACTGTAATATTAAAGATACGAAGATATATTGCCAGTAATAAAATAACGTCAGTATCTAATTTTGAAGCTATACTTAAAGTATATTTAAAACAATTTTAATTCTAGATTTATAAATAGATGTAGAATTTGTTTCTTTTTTTACCTGTTGTTCCAAGTTGAACTTTTCCTCTATCGGCGACAATCGTCCGTTATTCTTTGATTTATCCGAAGGACTAATTAATTCTTCGTACTCCGCTATTTTGTTGATCAGTTCAGCAAGTTTGTCGTCGCTTAGCTTCTGTTCTTGTTCGAAGAGCTGTCTCTCTTCTTCCAGCTTGGCGGCCCAATAATCCTCACATTCTTCGTATTCTGCTTTCAACAAATCCAAGCTTCGTTCGAGTTCCTGGCAACGCTCGATCAACTGCTTCTTTTCCGCTTCTATCAATTCGGCGGTTATCGCAATCTTTGGAATGTTTTCGATTTCGGTAATGCTTGAGGAACTGTTCTTTTCCTTATTAGTTTTGCACTGCTCCACAGAATGTTGCTCTTCTTTTCGCGGTGGATAATCTCGAAGACTCGTCGTTTTACTTTGCACCGCATTCTTCACATCTTGACTGCCAGTAAAATCGTTCAAGTCTTCCGTGCTACTCAATATCGCTGCACGCTTCGCGGAGGACAACTTCGGTACTTTCGAGACGACCAAATCCCGTAAAGACTCGTTAGCCCGTTCCTCGCATTCCATTTCAAGTTCGGACGCTATGCTCTTTCCTGCATCACGCGCGGAATAGCGTGGCGCGGAATTCGATTGCATGCCAGTGATCAATCTCGATATGCCGTCCCTCAAATGACATTTTTCCGCGACGCACTTTGCACTTGCCAATACATTTTCCAAGTCTTTTATGATCGTATCTCTAAATCTTTTGTACTCCGTTGCATTTGACACGTCGGTCTGCTCCTCGGTTATCGATGATCCAAAACCAAACGACGCTCTCGCTTGATCGATTTGCCGATCCGCATTGTACTCTTGCGTTATCCGGCTCTTATCTTGGTTCTCGTCCAGCTGCAAATCGTACGCCAAAGATGACGGCGCATCGTAGCTCGTATCTTTGCTCTGGCTTCTTGAATTTTCCAATTCCGCGTTCAGCTCGTCGTTGTAATCTCGTAAGAGAGTCACTTCCGACTGCAGATGCTTGATACGATCGATGAAGAAATCAACTTGCTCCTGCTGCCTCGCTTCCATGCTTTGTATCTCATCCTGCTCCGCGTCTAATATTTTTATCTGATTCAACAAATCGTTGTTGGATTGCCGCAGTTTATCGATTTGATTGAGAAAAGTTTTATTTTCCGCTTCGAGCATCTGATTCTCCTGCAACATATTTATAACTTTATTCTTCATATCGTGATTTTCTTTCTGCAGTGTCTGCAATTGATCGTCTCTCGATTTGAGGGCCGCGGCGTCCATTTCCCGTTCAGCGTTAAGCTGATCCAACAAATCCTTCGTGATTTCGGCGTAACGTTGTTCGCTCTGCTTCTGCACACTCTCCTTCGTTTTTTCCAACTGAACTTGATATTCCTCAATTTCTTGTGCTAATAAATTCGCCCGTTCATTAGCTTCCAATATATCGACACGCATCTTCTCCTTTTCAGTTTTCATGTTCTCGATTGCAACATTTAGATTGCGTTGCTCCTCCTGATACGCATTAACTATTTCTTGCAGTAAGTCAATATGAGATTGAATAGTATCACTTTCTGGTGATTCATTCAAATTCTTAAGATCATCGCATATAATGTTTGTTACTTCCGCGAGACTGGTGTTTAAAGCATTGAGATCTTCGCTGGACGACAGCACAGTTACATTGGAGACACCTGCAACTTCCCGCTTATCTAAAGTTTCGTTAGCCTGTATCGAATCAATTCCACGAGATTTATATGCATTAAAATCTAACGTATTTACATCGCGTTGTACAATACTGTTGTGAGACGAGTTATTCTCTTGCGAGGCCTTCATGCACGATTTTTGAAATATAATTACAAACTCATCGAAGCTTATCAATCCATCGCAATTCTGATCTAACCACTCAAAGATAGATTCAGCTATTTGCTTCGGAAGCTCGGGAATTCCTAAACAGCTTGATATAAGCTGCATCGTTGCAGCATCCGCGTTTCCTTTTAAACAAACCTTCGTTTTTTCCCACAAACGCATTAATCTACTCTCATCCATTGGTACACCACTTTGTATCGCTTGAAGGTGAATCTTGGAAATGCTATTGACCGATAAAACCTCACTTTTCTCAATATCAATACCACGTGTACTTGAATTATAGCATGGCTGTACAATATGTTGCTTATCCATTATTAATCCTTGGAACTTCTTTAACAGAAGTAATAAACCATCCCGAAATTCCTGGAAGGATATAGTTCGTTTATCTGGACGACGTTTGCTGATGCATGACTTCAATTCTTCGATTAATCCATCCAGATGTAATTTATTGCAAATGGAGATTAAATCACTCTCGTCGAGTTCATCCTCTCCTTTTGTCAAACAGCTCTCGAATACATCAAAAAGCTGTTGTTCATAAAGATCGCCATGTTCAGCCATATTTTCTACTCATGATCCTCTAATTAGCTCAAAGTAGCTTTAATTTCCATGATACACCTGTAAGCAATAATAGTGGCACTTTATATTACAAATTATTAAATCTTGCATTAAAATTCTAGATTTATTAATTGTATATATAATTAAATAAAATTTTATATAATCATATTAATATAATTTGAAATTATTTTGTTACATTAGTTATTAGCTAAGTTAATTTTAAATAATTTTTTATCATAGTCAAAAACACCTGTAACTACAAACACTTGTAACATAACTACTCGTTAAACATTTAAAAATTTATTTCACTGAAATTTTCACTCTTTGTTCTGACACAGACACAATCAATAAGAAAGACATCGCTTGACATAACGTATTTGGTACATGGAATACATGTAACATATTGGAGAGAATGTTAATATTTCTGAAAAACATGTTGGTGAGTTGTTTATACTTAGAAAGTTCTGATGATGAACAATATGGTAATGTGAAATGTGTCTATTTATTGATAAAACTTATGATTAAAACAACAGAACAATATATATAACAATATATTAAGTAAAGTAGATCAAACTTTCATCTTGTCAAAGAAGTTTTCTCTTTTAGATTTGACCTAACGCAGTCCTTGTATTCTAGTTATTATTTTAATATTTGTACTTGCATATATATAAATATTGCACCAAATGGTGCAAATTTAAGATTGTTTTTTTTTTGCAAAAAGACAATTTAATTAATTTCACTTTCTAATATTAAATATATATGTTAGTTTGTTGTTATATCAAATGTAATCTTAAATTCTATCCAAATATGTACGTTTGCAAGTATAAATATTGATATTTTCAAATAAAATCATTTTATCTAGTTTTATCAAAAAATATAAAGATAACGCAAACGTTTAAGTGATAGCATATATCGAGACTATTTTCATATAATTGAAAATGGGCAACATCTTTTAACTCCATTACTTCATTATATTAAACGAAACACAGGTGGAATATGCGTACATGAAGTATCAGTATGAAAGTATAACAATAGAACGTAAAGGTCAATCAATTGTTGTCGCAGATCGTTATAACCTACCAATTCTAACTACACATCTAGCTGCACACATATAAAGATTATTTTTTTACAGCACAAAGTATCACAAATCATTAAACGATTTTAAATTATTTATACTTTTGGACAATTCTACGTAAATAACGTAATTTATTTAATAGCAGAAAAACGTCACTACGAAGGTTAGCAAACCACAGCAATCATATTTTCTTGACTTTCGACACGAACTTCTCGACAATATAGAGATTTTCCCCTTTTGAAAAGATACGGGCCAGTTTTAGCGACACCAATTTCCAGACCCAGATGTAAGCAAACTAAAATCAATCACGTGACGTACAGTGGAAAGTAGCGCTAAATTTAAATCTCCGTGAATGCGTCATTAATGAAGGAATCTCATTAATTATTAATAGTACAGAAATTACATATAGATTATAGACGAAGGATAATTCTAATTAATTTAAAATTATATTAAATATATTATTATATCGTTATATATTCAAGGTATTCAATATATTAAATTTATCCACATGTATTAAAAGTACAAAATATATATATATATGTATTATGACGTATACATATTCATAAAATATGTTATAAAAAGTTACATAAATAAAACAAATATAACTGTGAAAGCACATACATACATACAAATATATATATATTATATATATAATAAACTTATATAAAATATGTATCATAATTTTAGATGAATATATCTGAAAATATATTGATTATTAAGATACAATCAATTAAGGAAAACCTTTATTATCGACAAGTTTCATGAATAAATCAAATGCCAAAAACATTTTCTTCTTGATCACATTATTTATAGCGTGTTCTTCCGTTAATTCTATGAATATATGAGATAAGTATTCATACATGAGATGAGAATCAATTTTCTTGTAATAATTTCACATTAATCTTCCAATTTCACTCTGTCCACTGGTAGATTTAAGATCGAGAGATCTCTGCTGTTATATCGAATTTTCTTGATAAGAAAGTTGTTTCTGTAGATAATTTTTATATGCATCACAATTTTCATACAGTCTTATATATAGTCAGCAAGAGTAATATATGATTTATCTGCAAATAAACACGATAATGTTGAATATACAATCAATAATTATATGCAGTTTTAACGTGTACAGTTATTAACTATATTATCGTGCTATAGTCATTAAAACTAATTATACAGCAAAAAATTTTGGTTTTTTCTTAAGCTTTCGAAAAAAATGACTAATAACTACATAATAATAAATTGATATTAATAAAAAACTTACTACTTCTCACAGTTTATACAATCTATTTGATACATCGTTGGCATTTTCTTTGCTATTTGCGATTCGCGAGCCAAATTGGAAAGCTCTTTTAGGAAAATTTGCTGTACTTTGAAAACCAATCTTGCAGGCTAACAAACGTAACAGCAGCTTGTCTCCTAATCCAGTCGGCATTTTCTCAGTTGGATAGCACCTGTCAATAATTTTATGTAATTCTCTAATCTTTACTTGCAATCAACAATCGTGTACCATTATATTTACCTGTCCCATGGTTTTATACGTTGCACGTATTCCACTAGATTTTCGTCCAGATACGGTAAACGGGACTGTTTGCCATGATCAGAAACGACTCGGTCGTCCCGGCCTAAATTTCTCTCCGAAATTCTAGCCAATTCGACATTTAATTCTTGCACCAGCGCGTCCCATCCTTTATGCCGCAATACAGTTCTGTGTCGCATGTAACCGCCAAATAATTCATCCGCGCCTATGCCCAGGAACAATATTCTGCACGGCGACTCGTACGTTTCGTTAACTGGATAGAGAACGCCCCTCGCGCGACTTGCAAACCACATGGCGCATCCTAGACTCTCATCCAGAATTGTACACAACGGATGCAGTAAATCACAAATTCGTGAGGCACGATACAACTGCAGTTCCACTTGCGTGATATTACACTGAAATAAGCATAGCAATCAGAAAAATTTTTGCCTTCCTTCTTTTTTAAGAAAATATCAAATATATCGGAGTAATGTTTCGAATATTAGACACCGTACTTCTACGAGATTCCACTTCCTGCTGGGACAAATTCGTAACAACTCCGAATACGTTTGTCGCCCGGTTTTCCTGTCTGGCACATCATATTTCTGGATTACATTCTCCTTCTCGCCATTCGTATGACTTACTTTCTGGTTACTTACGGGTTTTTCAAATGCAACATTAATGAGATCTATACTTTCATTTTCCGGAACATATTTGTCAGCAATCGCTGCTAAGATTGCCGAGTCTAAGCCACCAGAGAATAATATACCAATCTTGGAATGAGTGCAAGTGATACTTCCATTATTTAACACGATCTTTATACAGTCCTTGCAATAATTTGGTTTTTTCTGCACTCTGATTTTTACCGATTGATGCAAGAGTTCTGTCAAGCACGTAACTCTTTCATTTATTTCTTGATTTTCCAACAAGTAATGTAATGTCTTGTTAAAGTCTTTATTATACGGTATGTTTTCTAGATATGCCAATTCTCTCGGATCAGGATGTAAATGCAAATTGATCAATGAATGACTGTCCAATATAGTTTCTTTAATATTTATATCTACATTTAAATTTGTTTCTAATGCTTCAATAACATCTGTAAACCTTAAATCAGGTTCTTTCCACGGATAACATGCTAAATTTATCTGTGAATTATTTAAATTCATTACAAAGATACCTATAGCTGGTACCTCTATAATTCCTTTCATTTTTTTATTCGCAATTGAAGTTAACATCAACGAATTAGCTTCGTTGTCAACTTTTAAAAGCAAGCTATGACGTCCAATGATATCTCGTCCAAAGTACAGCATATTACTTGACTTCTGATAATATACTAAGCTGTAAGGGCCTTCAATCTTCCGAAGTACTGGTATAATATTTGTAGTTGATTGTAATTCATCCAATATTATATTTGTGTCGCAGACATCATCTTTTGCCTAAATAAACAATAATAAAACAAACTTATCCTATTAAATTTACTATATTTTTATTCTTTTTCTTTTATAAGAATATACTACTGGATTGCATATTATTAAAGCATATTATATTTTAATGTTTACTCAAAACATTAATCAGAAAATTCTAAAATTTACAAAACCATACATACCAAACAACCTGAGAAAAGATCTCCATTCCAAAGTAATAAGTTACCACTATTATCTAAACTTGGCTGTGGTGTCATCTCTAGACCTTGCATCCATAATACAGCAGCAGCAAAGTATCCATGCCAATCATGACTTAATGATACATGTGTTTCTTTTAAATAATCAGGTCCTCGAGCTGTTACTAGCTCTTTGCATAAATTCCACTAAAACAAATAGATAAACATATTAAGAAAGAAAAAGTACTTACATAGTCTTAAGAAATAATTTTTATTAAAATTTTTCAAAATAGTCATGGAGAATTATTTCAATTTTTCTCTTGCAAAAATTCACTTTTTAGCCTTAATCCTAATAGGAAGAAATATAGTGACAACTTATAACTTTAAAGATTTTTGGAATAAATCTCAAATTTTATACTTTACTTAATGTAATTAATCGAGGTTTCATACCTGTTTAGAGGATTCGGATTCATTCCTAGATTGATGTATAGAACAAAATATTCCACACATTGTGACGTCACGATTAAAGCTATTATTCTGGCTTCACTGTCTCAAAATATAAGATAAATATATGAATTAACTAAAAAAGTTAATTTAAGACAGACTTTTTATTAAATGTTCGAAAGTACTTGTTGCCGGCGTCAATAGGTTATGTAACACATTTCACTTGCACGAATATTACAGACAATTCGCATTGTTGCGCAAAAATATTTTATATTTAAAATTGTGATACACTTAAAAATTAATTCCAACTAAAATTTCATTAATAAGTTGCAGTAAATCGTTTGTAATATAATACAATAAAATCTAATAGCAAATTCGTAAGTCCACAGAACTCACACATCCACAGCACTCCATGCGTCGATTTGCTAGATAAAATCACTGCATAAAATACGCAAAAGCAGTGATACGATATTTTTCAAAGTTACATTTGATATAGTTGTTAGGAAAACATTATTTTTAATTAAAAACAATTTTTTTTACCGATTTTTTAATTAATCCAAGTGCTTGACTATCACTGATTGGTTTCACCATTTCGTATCAAACCAATCAAACATTAAACAACTAGACTTTTACTTTTGAAGAACGCACCCTTCATGGAAATTTGCATAATCACGTAATGCGCTTTAAACAATCGACCAATTATATGTCTAATGGAAAGCTATATTAATTATGTGATTGGTCGATAATTTAAATTTTTGTTCCATACTTTTAGGGAAATTCGACGTTAACGACCTCTACCGTTGGCAATCTTGCAAACGACGGTGCTGTTTGAAAGAGACGTGCGTTGCGAACGAATTCGCGTGATGACCGCTGTGGTGTGTGGGAAAAATTGAGCAAACGAGAATAAGTAGTGATTAAAGAGTGTGACAGAAAGGAAGCCGGTCGGCATCCAGCCGACAACATGTTTCGCTCGAAGAAAGATGTCGATCGTCACGTGCAGAGTATCTTCAGCAAGCTGCGAAACGAGAACGAGGTGAGGTTACTTCGTCCGCGCGTGACAATTTTTTTTTTAACGTTTGCCCTCTCTCAGTCGCCGAACGAGCTTTCGGTTATGTTTTTACTCGCGGCGACAATGATACCGATGTTAAACGGCTGTGCTCGATATGTTCGACCGACACTGTTCGATAATCCGATGTACCGGAGACCTTGAATCGTCATGCTAGACAGAAGTACACGCGAGCGCACGTCGTAACGTTTCGATGATGGCGAGTTTTCGCGGGAAACCGTCCTCGCGACATCAGTACCGTTCGTAAAAGCAGTTGACTATTTTGCAGATTTACTCTTTGTTGCATTTTCAATCTGATATTTGTTTATATTTTGAATGACAGAAAGCTTGGCATCGTTAGACAAATTATTTTTATCTCGTGATAGAAATGACATAAGGGCGTATGTCTTGAGGGGAATAATTTGTTGATAACAAAATTTGAAACAAACTTGAAATCATAATTTTAAAGTCGTAAAATATTTTTTACTCTGCTACAGAGAATTATAAATAATTTTATTTGATTAGAAATCGTATTTTTTTATATTTTTTTAAATATATAAATTTTTTTAAAAGATAATAATTATTCAAATTATAATAAATGAAATTTGGATGAAATAAGGATATATTAAGTAAATTATTATAGTAATTTAATTAGTGTTTATAATATTTTGTGATAATGTGATAGTGTTATGTATCTGAAATATCTGTTTCTATCAATTGTAGAGTATATGATAGAGTTTACTATCATACATATGCAATATACAATGCAAATATGTAAATATTTAACATTGTTTTTAAGTTTTTATATAATTTCTCTTGTTTTATTGGACATTGCTTAATAATAATTTATTTTGCATTTGCAGTCAGATCTAACTTTTCTTGATATTTTAATTTTTTCTTATAGAAAAATCTTCGTTGTTACAATGTTGCCAAACTGTATTACCAAGTAGGTGATTATGAATCTACAAAAAGATACGTATGTAGTTACTTAGAAGTAAGAGATGGCTCGGCTAGTGCACATAAATTGCTGGGCCAGGCGTATGAGGCTCTTGGTCAAAAGGAAGCAGCTTTTAATGAATATAAAATTTCTCTTGAGATTGAAGGGAGACAAGATGATCTTGTCTTAAAAGGTAAGAAATCAGTAGCTATATTTGTCTCTTGAATATCTTTGCAACAATGTAATGTTTTCTTCTTTAATATTATAGTATGTGAATTATTGGCTAACAACGACATAGCAATGGATGTCAATAAAGTAAATTATCTGGTGGATAGAGCCGACAAACAATTTCCACACCATCCAGTAGTTTTTCAATTGAAAGAGAAGTTGACTAAAGAGAAACCAAACAGTAACAGTGAGGACCTCGAAAAACTCATCATATGTAAGCAATTGTTATCTAATTCTATGTTAGAATAGTTCAAGGTTGAGAACTATAATGTGAAATAATTTTCCAGCTGAATTGGATGCAAGACGAACAGATGTCCATCTCCATATAAAATTGTTAAATCATTACATGTCAGAACAAAAGTTGGATAAAGCTTATGAGCATGCTATTAGTGTGGAAGCCAAAGTTTGTTACAAAAACAGTATCGCGTGGTATCAGCTATTGTGCGAGTTACTAACAAAGTGTAAACAGACTAAATCATACGACTGGTCCTTCTGGTTTCTCTACATAACTACGCTGGACAGATATGCAAGACTGTGTCTCAAAGAGCAAGGCAGTCACATAAAGAAAAGCGTTACAGACGCAGCTCAAGCAGTATTTAAGTATGTAATCATATTGTAATCACGAAAACAAAATAATTATACCTTTTTTTTTTACGGTGTATGTTTTTATATTTATGGTATTTTTACGAAACAAAATGTATTTCAGTTTTGACCAAAGTCTGAACGAGATGAAGTCAAAAAGCTTTTCTAAACAACACCCATTCACGAAGCACTTGTTCATGCACATGTGGGGTCAGTTACACTTCCATCTGGCATGCTTACTATTGCGTAAAACAAAACGTGAGCAAGGTAGTTGGAGCGAAGCGGGAAGACTGTGCGCACCTCTATTATTAACCGCATTGCACGTGGCTCCGCTAGAAAGCCGTACGTGTGTGCATCTAGAAAATGAGGGATTCAAAAATCAGTTCAAATTGTGGAACAAGGAGGCCGCATATCGATGTTGTCAAGCTGGTATGTGATTACGTTGTCCTGTAAAATTTGTGATGCACTGCTTACAATGTTCTTACCAATATTGTTTTGTTCTCAGGCCACATTCTTCAGGACTATGCCAAGAATGATACGAAGAAACTTATAGATAGAATTGATAAATTTTGCACAGGACATTGGAGAGAGCGTATTTATCAGGTATAATTTTTATTAACGTTACGCGTATTCTGATAATGAGATATAAATATAAATGTGTATTTAATGTCTGTCTTTTTCAGAGAATTTTTGTAACAAAGATGTACCTTGACCATATACGGAAGTCATTTTTCTGCGGTGATACAATTTGTGATCCACCTTTGCGTTTCTGTTCCGCAGGTCAACTAAAATCTTACAGTCAAAGTGCGTACAAAGATTCTTTTATTTTATAAAAAAAAAGAAACGTTAACAGTCTAGTATTTTGTGTATAAAATGATATATTGCGTTTGCTTCTAAGCTCATATTTACGATAATATGCAAACTTACCCAAAATTCTAAATTTGATATTTTACAATAACTTATAAATTAGTGATAAAAATTTATAACTAGCTTAAAAATGATTTTAAAATATAACGAACAAGTAATAAAATATAATGTTGCAATTTTTATTTTTAGTCGCGCAAGATATGTGGCCCGATTCACTGCATCATCAGATCTGGTTCGGATTAGAGAATCGATCGCAGCATAAAGACGCTCCATATCCAAATCAATATTCGCTTATCTTCCCGGATTTGCAATTTTCGGTGTTCAACACGAACCAGGCAGCACCCGACAGCCTGTGCCTGCTCGACATCGACGCATTTCTCAACGCGGCGACACTCTGTTCGTCCGCTGTTCTAGAAGAGCAACAACTTGGTAGCTTCATGAATCCCGAGAAACTACCGACACTACCGGTTGACCTGACTATGACATTGTCCACCAGCAATCAGGAAAAATGGTGGTCAGCTGCTTGCAAAATGTACTCTAAGCGCGAGAACGTAGATATTGGCGATATCGGCGAGCTGCGAAAAGAATTGCAGCAGGGTTTGGAAGTAATTCGCTGCATTGGCAATCATGGTATGCATCCCGTGCTGCTTGTGCACCTGGCGCGCATGTTTCACTATCGCGCAAAGCTGAAGAAGGAGAAGGACGAAGACAATAGTCACATCCCGAGGTGGGAGGCGCGTTCCGAGTTGTATTGGACCACTGTTATACCCTTGTTGGAGAGACTGCAGAACAATCAAACATTATGCATGTCTTCCTCAAAGCTGTTCAACTACCAAGGCAAGGAGATGAACAACTTTGAGCTGACAATCGCTCTTGAAGAAGGCAAGTTGCTGCTGGCGCAACGGCTCGTGCGCGAAAAGCAGTACGAGCAGGCGATCGATGCGCTTCTAGCGCTCAAGTGCCCGGAGGCGTCGTTTCAGCAAGCAAAGATCTACAAAATATTTGCGGACGAAATAGTGAATTCCACGCCCCGCGAGAGTCTCACGTCGGAGATGCGTTCGCAGCACATCATAATGCTGTCGAAGGCGAGGAACTGCTTCTATCTCACGCTCGATCGGCTCCGCAGCCCCGGCATGAATCCCAAGCATCCGCTGAACTCGGAGCTCGGCACTTACATCGCCGACATCGAGAACGAGATGAAGAGGATAGACCCGGAGGATCTGGGTAGAGGCGATTTGAGTAGGAATGACATCGACGACTTATCCGACGAGAGTTATTCGCCCACTCACAGCGCCGTAGACCAGGCAGTCCACATCAATTCGACGTTGCCGGTACTGACGACCGGCGGCTCGAATATGCTGAGCACTCCGCAGAGAAACGCGCACCGCACGCCGAAGCACGCCAGCACACCGTGCAAGACGCAGCATCAGGATTACCTGAATCTGTCGAAGAATCGCATCGAGGTGCGCCCGAGCCCGGAGCGTCTCGACGCGCAGATACGGCAGATCATGCAATCGCGAGACAACGAGATGCAAGAACTGACGGAGCAGATGAAGAACTTGATGGATCAAACGAAAAGCATGATGTCGCAGATGAAGACTCTCACCGACAAAGTGGACAATCTGACGAAGGAAGTGACGGAGTCGCGCAAGGAAAATCAGAAGCAGCAGCAGCAGCAGCAGCAGCAACAGCGCGTCCAGCAACAACAGAACGTCAATCCCCCCGTGGATCCTGACGATTTCTACGTCCTCGACGACGACGAGTACGCCGATCTGAGCTACCAGAATCAACCAACCGGCCCGGCGTCTTCGATCTCCGGCAATATCTTTGCGTCGCAGCACCGACATCCTTACTCGTCGCTGCTCTATCCCTCCGCGGCAACCGCGTTCCAGGGATATTACCAAGGCGGAATACCGTTCACCGATCCGAACGCCCAGGCGGCTTTGCCACCTCTCTATCCGCCTGTGTATCCGATGCCGGTGCTGTATCCGAACGCGAATCAGACGAAGGTGCCGGACAATCCGCTGCAGCAGGGTCTCTTCGCATCGACGCTACCATCGCAGCTGCCCGATCTCATGCCGGTGGCGGCCGCGGCGGCCGCGGCAGCGGCGAATCCGTCGTTGCAGATCCCACTGCAGCCGAAGGTCGAGACGCCGCGGGCGAAAGTCGAGACTGCTCCGACGACGACGCTTATCAAAGACGCGCCGGTGAACAAAACGCCGCCTGTGAACGTGGTCATCACCACATCCGACACGCTGCCGACCACGGTGCCGTCCACTCAACCGACCCTGAGCGTCACCATACCGCCGCAGTACCGACTGGCGGGCGGAACGGCTGTCACTTTTTCGTCAAGCACGCCGGGAACGGCGACGGCGCCGACTGTAGCCACAACAGCGATGATCACGAAAGCAGCCAATGCGCCGCACTGCTACCAGATCCCCATGCCCTCGCAAGCCACCATACCGACCACCGTCAATCTGCCGCCGACGACCATCTACGTGACACCACCCGTCATCAACATACCGCCGGTGTACGCCGGTAATCTGACGTTCAGCACGCTGTCCGCGATCACCACCACTCAATCGACCGCCGGCAGCAACGCTCCGCCGAGCGTGCAGACACCCGAGAAACCTATTTACGAACCGATTGAATCGCCGAATGCGTCCACGGAGATAGCGGGCGAGCAAGAGCACGACCCGATACCGGACTTCGTGCCCGTCATACCGCTGCCCGCGAAGGTGAAGGTTCTCACCGGCGAGGAGGACGAGGACTCCCTGTACTGCGGCCGGGCGAAGTTATTCCGCTTCGTCGATAAGGAATGGAAGGAGCGCGGCGTCGGTTACGTGAAGCTGTTGCGCAACGCGGAGGGTAAGGTGCGCCTGCTGATGCGCCGCGATCAGGTTCTGAAGATCTGCGCGAACCATTTGCTGAGGCACGACATGGAGTTGACACCCATGTCTAATAACAACAAGGCCTGGTGCTGGGTCGCTAACGACTTCGCCGACGAGGCGGTGAAGCTGGAGAAGCTTTGCATTAGATTCAAGACCGCGGAAGATGCGACGGCGTTCAAGCAAGCCTTCGACCAGGCCAAGCTCGGCCTGATCGCGTCTCCGGAGAAACCGTCCAAGACCAAGGACAAAGCGCCTTCCTCCGACAATAAGATCAAAGATCCGATCAAGGCTCAGAAGCCGCAACCGACGCAGCAAGCTAACATAAGCTCGACCACGGAGGTGGCTTCGTCGGACAAGTCGAAATCCGGCACGACAACGCTAGGGGGATTTTCATTCAGCTCGAAACCCATCATTCAGACAGTCAGCGAGACGAGTGATTCCAAAAAGTGCGAGGAGCCGCCGAAGGTCAGTCCGTTCAGCGGATTCTCGTTCACCAAATCGGCAGCGAATAACAAAAACGACGCGGCGGTTGTCAATAAACCCGCCGACTCCAGCAAACCGCCGCTGTCGCAGTTGTTCAAGACGCCGGCTGGTTCCTGGACTTGCGACGAATGCTACATCATCAACTCCGGTTCGAACATTTACTGCGTCGCCTGCGACAGCCCTAAGGATCCATCGCAACCGCCCAAGCCACAGCAGACCAGTATCTTCCAACTGAACGTGTCCGGCTCTTCTGCCGCGACGCCGATGACCACGTTCTCCTTCGGCATTCCTAAGGACACCGCGAAGGAGACGACCAGCACCGGCTTTACCTTCCGGATGCCAAAAGCAGACGACAAGAGCACGAGCGACAGTACCAAGACGACTTTATTGAAGACTGAGGAAACCACAGGCACTAACTTTGTGTTTGGTATGCCGATAAAAACATCACAGAAGTCGGGCGAATCACCGTTCACCTTCGGTTCGCCCACTAAATCATTCGGCTTCAACTTTACAGCCAAGTCGCCGGTTAAATCACCAGGTGGCAGCGGCGGCGGCGGCGGCGGCGGCGAGACCAGCGAAGACGAGGTGGTGGAGAGCGATGACATCCATTTCTCACCGATCGTGCCGCTGCCGGATAAAATCGAGGTGAAGACGGGCGAAGAAAACGAGGAGGTGATTTACAGTCACCGGGCGAAGCTGTTCAGATTTGACACTGAAGTGAAGGAGTGGAAGGAGCGCGGGCTGGGCGACATCAAGCTGTTACGTCACAAGGAAACCGGCAAGCTGCGGCTTATTATGCGGCGAGATCACGTGCTGAAGCTGTGCTTGAATCACATGTTGACCACCGATCTGGAATTCACGCCGAAGGACGAGAAAACGTGGCTGTGGACTACAGCGGACTACAGCGACGGCGAGATCGAGTACATGCAGTTCGCTTGCCGCTTCAAAACGGCCGAGATTGCGACGAATTTCAAGCAGACGATCGACGACGCCAGAAAGACTGTCAGACCAGCGATCGCCAGCGAGAAAGTGAACAAGGCGAAAACGCCGATGAAGACGACGAAAGAGATCGAGATCGTCTACGAAGCGAAGGTCACGCCGGAAGAGAAAGCGGCCGCCTTAAAATTGCAGCTCCCAGAGAACTTTTACGCGTATAAGCAAAAGGAAGACTGTCCCGGTTGCATAGGCTGCAGGAAACCGAGCTTAGTGTTGTATCCGGATGCCTCCTCGCAGGAAACAAAATGGAAACCTGTATTGGAAGAGAAAAAACCGAGCAGTGAATCCAGCCAGAGCGTAGCTCAATCTGTGAAGAATGGATTCTCGTTTGCAATGGCGCCCAGTGCAACGTTCAAGACGACGCCGGTCACCTCGAGCATCTTCGACGGCTCCACGATGAGCTTCGGTACCGGCGACCTGAAACTGTTTAATGACAAGAAGACGACGACCTTCTCGTTCGGCATGAATCCTCAATTCGGCGCCAACGAAGCAACGGAGAATACGACAGGCGCCTCGCTTGAAAATGTCAAGATCTGCAGTCCTTCGAACGCTCAAGTCACGCAGACGACTGCTTCCAACACGACCGACACCACCGGATCGATATTCAACCAAGCAACGGCGTCCGTCTTCAAAACATCTAACTTTACCTTCGACTCCAGCAAGAACATTTTCGGCGGCGCCTCAAAAGCCTCGGATTCGGCCTTACCGAAGACGTCCATCTTCGGCGAGAGCGGCGATGGCAATTCTCTATCATTCGGAAATTCGACCGCTTCGTTTAACACCACGAAGACGACCTCCGCCGCCGCCGTCACGCCAAATTCCGTTCCGAGGACGTCGCTGTTGACCATGAGTTCCACCTTGGGACCTGGTTCGTTCCAGTTCGGTATTGCGCCCACGCAGCGAACTTCGAAGGCCAACGATACTGCTGCAGCGTCGACCATCGCATTCGACGCGTCTAATCAGTCCAGCAACTCGGTGTTCGCCACTAGTTCCACGCCCTTCTCGAAGATGACATTCGGCAACACTACTTCGCCGTTCGGTGACTCCACGACAACGACGAATATCTTCGGGACAACAGCGACGACAAACATCTTCGCGAAACCATCGGACGAGCAGAAGAGCGAAGACAACACCAGTTTCTTGGTAGAGGATACTATATCGTTCGCGGCGATCGCTAAGATCGCTGCAGAAAAAGCGATAAAACCGTCGGAGGCCTTCAAAATCGGTACATTATGAAATCGTGCAATCTTAACTAGATTATAACTTTCTCAATTAAGTCAAATCAAGATTAAGATTGATGGATTTAAATTGTTTTCCCGTGATTTATATCGATTCTATCTTTTTTATTAAAATATTGAAGACACAATTTTAATAATATTTCTTATTTTGTTAAACTAATTTTTCAAATTAACTTCTTTCAGATCCCAACTTTAAATTCGCTGGTGCGGGATCGTCAGTTTTTGGCTCGAAACCTGTCTTGTCATCATCGTCGTTAAACAGCTCGGGAACAGTGCAGAACAGATCGCATAATGAGTCTGTGCAAAAGGAAGACAATGAAGAAGATGAGGGCGAAGTAGACAACGAGCAGGAACACGACCCTCATTTCGAGCCCATTATACCTTTACCAGATGCCATTGAAGTTCGAACTGGCGAAGAAGATGAAGAGAAAGGTAACCTCTAAATATATATTTTTCATATGTCATTCAAAATCCTTCAATTTTATTCAAAAATTTCAACAATTATATATTCTTCATTGTGACGAATAATTGTGTGCATATTAAATCATTTACTTTACTGTATATATTATTATCGATTCAAAATTAGGTTCTACATTATTTATTTTCTGCAAAAAACTAGTTTATTAAATAAATTACTTGTGTATTGTTTTAATCCTTAATCATTCATCTAAATTTATTTGGCTTTAGAATAATATAAAACTTGTAATAACGTCCAATTTCATGATTATTCAAACTCTGCCTTGTTTACAGTGTTTTACCACAGAGCCAAGTTGTACAGATACGACAACGCCACGAAGGAGTGGAAGGAGCGCGGCATCGGCGAGATGAAAATCCTGTACCACGCGGGTCACGGCAGTTACCGGCTTCTGCTGCGTCGGGAACAGGTTCACAAAGTCGTCTGCAACTTCCTGATCACCCACGACGTGGAATTCCATCCACTCTCCACGTCGGACCAGGCCTGGATGTGGGCCGGCGTGAACTACGCCGATCAGGAGCCGTGCGCCGAACAGTTAGCCGTTAAATTTAAATCGTCCGATCTGGCTCGGCAGTTTAAGGCACACATCGATGCGATTCAACAGGAATTGCGCGGAAAGAAAAGTGTTCAAGGTAGTAGTTAATCCATATGATTGGTGTTAGATACGTATTTGATTTTTGTCACATTTGGCTTAATTAGTTGCATTTTTATTTATATTGTTATTGTACTTTTATCTTTATATGTGTCGCTGTTATGCATTTTTTTTTTTTTTTTTTTTTTACAATAAGCAAAATAAATAACGCGCTTGTTTGCATTTAATGTGTGAAACAAAGCGATGTAACTGCAGCGTATGCATACACGAAACTAAGTGATTTAACATTTTACGGATTTAGCATTAATCAACTTTGTATTGAAAAGTTCGACAATTTTTCCATGAAATTTGAACTACATCATTTATTTTATACGTTCTGTACACTGTATATTGCTGTACTTATAATAAAATGTTGTATATCTTACGCGCACCTTTATGTTTTATCTTTCAAGTTGTACTCGTGGTTATATATGTGCTGTCGTTTATACTTTGTAATATTTGTAAAGCTTGTTACGAGTGTTCGCATAAACACGATCACATGCTTTCTAAACGAATGTGTTTCTGTACGTGTGCGTTTTAATTAAACACGCCTTTACGTCTTAATCGAAATTAAAGATGGCTTTTGCAAACCAATCTGTTGTTAGATGAAAGATATATCAGCGAAGTGCACGAGAGCGAGGAACACGATCAAAGCAACGATGTGGACGAGGAGGAAGAGGATGAAGAGGAGGAGGACGACGAAGACGACCAAGAGATGCTTCCCATAATCGAAAAACCCGCCACTGTATTCGCGAGATTGCTACACGACGAGCCCAACAAGTGGCAAGCCGTAGGCTCAGGAAACCTGGCGATCTATTACGATTCCGAGATCTATGCGGAGAGAATCGTCCTGAAGCTCGACGATTCGGAGGAATACGCGAGCAACACTATCATCAGCATGGACACCTTGATGCAGGTAACAATCGTACTCGAGATTCAATTTATCGTGAACTTGCTGATTCTTCCCGCTAAATTGACAAAATTGTAGGTGGTGTCTGAAAAACAATTCCGAAGTTTTAGCAGTTTAAACTTTGGAGGTTTTTTTTCAGACATTCTGTACATTGTGATACATTTTTCATTTATTTATTGCTCGTACGTCGTTGCAGGTGGAAGGCAAAGAATGTATCTGGAGTGGAATCGATTACGCCTCGGAACCCCCAGTAAGAAGAGTTCTACGGGCAGTCTTCTCGTCGATAGAAGCAGCGCAAGAAATGCACACATTTTACGAAGATGTGAGTAAAGTTCGATTAAGAGATTTTCGTGTGTGTTATGCTACATGTATGTTAAAATCGAAAATATGAGTTTAATGCAAAATGATGCTTTTTCACAGGCATTGGACAGTGCGAAGCAAGCCGGAGTCGTCGAATATCAAGATGAATAAAGCTCCTAAGAGCTTTCTAATAGTAGCTGACAATTGGCTGTTGTTATATAATTCATTACCTTCCTATTTTAGATTAAGCGTAAATGGTTGTTTCTTACCGATCCCTTGAACATGTAAGAATTTGCAAGGGTGAACACCGTTAGATTTTTACATAGCCTTTTCTTTTTTAGAATTAAGACATGAGTTTGATAAGAAAAAATTATAACCATCATTTACATATGAATGATAAGTGCAAATTTCTTCTAATAATTCATGTGCTACGAAAAATATTTATAACAATTGCACAAAAAAATAGAAACTTAAATACCACGATTTCTTTATTCTTTATATTAATCTATACACGACTTCGCCTCTTCTTCTTTTTTTTTTTTTTTTTAAATAAAATGTGATGTGCCAAAACTGAAAGGCTTTTTACTTTGCGATGCAAATATTATTTCATACTTGTATTTATAATTATTTTAAAACTGCAATAGAATAACTTTTAGTACTATATATTTTCAAATAAACATTTGTGTGTAGAAATTTTCAGTGATAAACAAGTTGATTGATAAGATAGCACAAGTATACAATGATAATTTTTACTAATCATAATAAATCGGAAAAACTTAATGATTATTTTGACTGGATTGTAAAGCCAGCATTAGAATTAGTGATTATTGTAAATATTGAGTAATTTTATCTTTATATCTAGGAATTAAATTTAACCCTTATTTAAAATCAAAATTGTCACGTGAAAAGTTTTATTACTACAATGTGTATCATGTTTATATAATAAAATACAAAATATTTAGTTAAATGTATTATTTCTGAAAACGATACTCAGGTAAGTGATATTTCATGTATTATTTTTACAATTAAACTTTAATTCAGATCAAGCATATGCATTTATTTTATGGAAGTCTAATTGAATAAATTCACATATCTATAAAAAAAGAAGTAGATATAAGATAATTTATTTTTATACAAAAATGCAAAATAAATTACTTTTATATAAAATAAATAATTTTTATTGATTGCATGATTTCTAAGAAGTGATTTTAGATATAAATTTCAGATATAAATATTTATGAATTTTTAATATAATTACATATCTATTATAATTATATTATGACTTGCAAATTCTAAATATTTTGTGCAAAATGTGTCTATATATAAAAAATATATTTTAGATTAAACGCAAAATGTGTTTATATATAAAAAATATATTTATAAAATATTATATAAAGCAAAATCATACGTAAACAACGAATAGACAAGGTGCAAAGTCTTCGCGACTTTTCCGCCCCTCTATTGATGTCAGAAGTGATGCAGCATATATTCTGTCAACAGCTGATTAACCGTGCTGGACTTTGATACAACTCGAGGACTCGAGCTGCATAAGTATCACTGCTGATATTCATCAGGTTCCGTAACATCGTAACATAGTAACGTTTCTAAAAGTGAGTCGTCGCAATGTCTATCGTAACAAAAGGTACGCACAAATCATAAATTTGATTTGATTTGTATATATTTTATATCGATCAAGGATTCTATGATAGACGCTATTCATCACTAGTGTTTTAGCGAAGGAAAAAATTCATGAAGTACACACATATTTTAGAAATCCGTCCGCTTTTCTAGTCGCATTTGTTACTACTTTGCCAGTAAACTTTCACGGCTCGAAGAAAAGAAACAAGTGAATAAAAAAAATGTAGCTTAAAGTAATACGTGTAACATGTGCAACAAGTTATATGTGCATACGTATTAGGTACATAAATATCCATACATTTAAAAAAATTATAAATTTGTCCTTTAATCTGCATTTTCTCTAAACTTTTTACATTGGAATGGAAAAATCATACAGGTAGCTTTTATATAAAGAAATATAAAGAAATAATGCATGAATACAACCGAAAATAAACATAGCCTTTATCAATCTTGCTCGAATCTCTCAAAACAAGTTAATACCAAGAGCCATCTACCAGCAGTGCATGTCACTTCAAAACGCGCTGTTTTTGAATGTTTTGAATACATTAGCATGGAAAGTATTCTGTGCAAAAATTCTGTGTTGTACAAAAGTTACAAAATCCTTAAAAGGCGAAAATTTTGCAGTCTTTTTAAACAAATTTTTCCTTCGCACCTCACTACAAATGCTTAACCAAATGTATTCAAAACGCGCGCATAATTATAATAATTCCACTGTTCAAAAAGGCATATGCGATATTTTTATAGTATCAAAATTCATTATTGCTGTTTTTCCACGATGTCGATTGGTTCTTTCGTTACACTCATTGTCAATTCGTATCGCGAGCGGTTGTTGCGAATATTTTTTTACATATGTTTTACATATTTTATATTTAATTATAATAAATAATTATAAAAGAATAAATGTGTGCGTGTAGCGCACGCTTGTGTGCCTAGTGTAATCTAATTACGAATGATAATACATTAACATATATATCGCGTTTTATGGCAATAAAATAATTTTTTAACTCAATTTTTTAAAGAAATATTATCTACCAAAATATAAAACCAATAGATAAAAGTAAAATATAATGAAAGAAAATTCCTCGCTTAATTTTCTAAAACTTGTTGGTCATTATTGAAATTTCTTGGTCGCAGGTGTCTTCATCGTCGCTGCAAAGCGCACCCCATTTGGTACAATGGGTGGTGTGTTTGTGAATAAAAGCGCAACTGACTTGTCGATTGTTGCATCAACAGCTGCAATACAAGCAGCAGGATTAAAACCAGAAAAGATTGACAGCGTTGTATTTGGACATGTACTGACGGTATGTGTGTATTACATACAGGGTGTTTCATAATGTCCGTGCCAACGCTCGTGTGCGGATAGAGTGCTGTAAATTAAATAGAAAAGTCCTTTACCGTTTTGCAATTTTCACAATAATAATTGAGATATTAATTACAAAGCAACGAAGATCGTAATGGCGATGAAAAATAACAACACGTATTACTCCTGCTCTCGCCATGCGTTGTTATTTTTCGTTGCCGTGCGATCCTCGTTGCTGTCACGCCTAAAGTCACGCTGTACAGCCCATGATTTAACCGCGCGCAACGCGTGATTATTCGTCAATCCTTTTTAATTAATATCTCAATTGTTATTGCCAAAATTGCAAAATGGTAAAGGACTTTTTTATTCAGTTTACCGCACTCTACCAACACACAAGCGTTGGCACGGACATTATGAAACACTCTGTATATGTACATATAATTAACAATTTTATAATAAATACCTTCACTACTTTCATTGATTATATGTATTAACATATTTAACTTTTACTTTATAGTCGTCATCGTCTGATGGAGCTTTCCTACCAAGGCACGTTTTACTAAAGTCAGGAATTCCATTGCAAAAGCCGGCATTTGGTGTGAATAGATTATGCGGTTCTGGTTTTCAGGCAATCGTCAGTGGAGCTCAGGTTGGTCAAAGATTCTTTGGTCTCCTAGAAATATATTATTTAATTAAAACATAGAATATTATAGCAATATAATATTGTAGAATAATAATATTATGGAATTTTATGGAAAGATTAATGTGTGTAATTCTAAAAAATGTAAAATAGAATGTATGGCTATAAATAGTAACAAACATCTGCGCAAAAATTGAAACTTGTAGCAACAAATATAATTTTTATTGCAGAACATTTTAACGGGAGAATCTAAGATCGTTTTGACGGGCGGTGCAGAAAACATGAGTCAAGCACCTTTTGTTGTAAGAAACATTCGTCACGGAACTATCTTGGGTCAGAAATACGATTTTGAGGACTCACTCTGGCTTGGACTTCTAGACACCTATTGCAATTTGCCTATGGGTTTGACTGCGGAGAAACTCGGCGCGCAATACAACTTGAAGAGAGAGGAAGTCGATCAATTCGCCTTGAGCAGCCAACAACGGTGGAAAGCTGGTAAATAATGCTCTAATCATTAACGTCTAATTTAAGAATTTATTTACTAGTTCTTAATGAAATAAATAAATTATTTTATATATTAAATTAGGTTTTCTTTCTAATTAAATAAATAATTTGTGTACAATTTCTGTGTAGCTTAAGAATCTATTTTAAAACCTTATGTATTACAGCCAACGATGCAGGCCGTTTTAACGAAGAAATCGCACCTGTGCAAGTAAAAATTAAGAAACAAGATACAGCCGTCAGCGTGGATGAACATCCTCGTCCGCAAACAACAAAAGAGACTCTTGCCAAACTAAAACCTGTTTTCCAAAAAGATGGATTAGTCACAGCCGGTTCTGCATCGGTATGTTGTATCTCCTTTTACTTATATAGATAAACTTTATCCTAATTCTCTCAAATTCAATTAACGAAGTTCTTCTTGTTCATTAGGGTATTTGTGATGGAGCAGGCGCTGTTATTTTAGCCAGCGAAGAAGCCGTCAAGGAGGAAGGTTTGAAACCATTGGCGCGTTTGGTGGGATATAGTGTTGTTGGCGTAGAACCGAGCATTATGGGAATTGGACCTGCACCGGCAATCAAGAACTTGCTCAAACTAACGGGCAAGACGGTCGAAGAAATGGAATTAGTTGAGGTACGATTTTTAATCTCCATTCACACTGTAAAAATTTGGCTTCATTAAATATCTTTAACAATATGAAAACAATTAGAGAGAAATAATTAGCAGTGTAATATTACAATTTATATTTATCTTTGCTATACATTAATTGCCATTCCTGATAGATCAATGAGGCGTTTGGAGCTCAAACTTTGGCGTGTGCGAAGGACTTGAACCTAGATTTGAATAAATTGAATGTGGACGGTGGCGCCATTGCCTTGGGACATCCATTGGCTGCTTCTGGTAGCAGGATCACTGCTCACTTGGTGCATGAACTCAGGTATGTCCTTTTATCAATATCACAAACTATGTACATTTTTATTAATTTATTTGTCTTGTTTCTTACAGGAGGCGAAAGGCTGGAAAGTTCGGTATTGGTTCGGCTTGTATTGGCGGCGGCCAAGGCATTGCTGTGATGGTGGAAGTATTGTAATCATCTCAAAAGACGAATCGCTAAATATCTTCTACGAGCGAAAAAACACCGCGAAATAAAAATGATACATCCTTACGATTTATTGATACTAAATGAATTATTGTTAAGAAATTTTTTTATCCATTTATGATGAAATTATGAGACAAAATTATGAAAAGTATTTCTATACAAAATTATACTTATTTGTACAATTGTGCAAAATTGTACAAGAATTTTACATATTTTTATACATGTAATAAAGTAACGCTAAATATAATATGGATAAGTATTTTTAATTCGTTTTAGATTTAAGAAAACCTATATAGCTGCAAAAATCCAATCTCGAATAAGACGTCCATAGTATCTAAAATATACAGAAACTAGCTTCATTATAAACGTTTCAGAATATTATGTCAAATTGTTTAAAGAAGCCTCGAAAAGCTATTCATGAATATCTGTTCAATAAGAGTATCGGCTGGAAAATTATATCACATATTAGTCCTCAATGTTTAACTATTCTAACATGAAATTAAATAATAATTGCTTACATATAATAAGTTGTTCGAAGTACTCACTGTTGGACCCGATTCTCACTATCGGTCGCTCACGCTCCGTTCATGCTTCTCATTCAGATAAAATATTCTTCCATTGTTTTTTACGTATCTATCCACATTATGGATAACACTCAAGTTTCTGTCCGGCCTCGCTCCAACAATGATTCTTCGAAAAAATACAAAACAAAAAGAAACATTGATCAGACTGAGAACGGAGCGTGAGCGAAGCGTGAACGGAGCGTGAGCGAAGCATGGGCGGACCGATAGTATGGTTTGGGCCTTACTGGTTTGGTCTCTCTCGAAAGTCAACCTTTCAATTTAAAAACTACTGGATGAAGAAATTGTTGTCCATCCATCCAATAATGCACTTTATTAACATCCATTGCTATGCCATTGTTAGCCAATAATTCGCATATTATAATATTTAAAAAGAAAGAAGAAAATGTTACATTGAAAAAATATTGCTTTGTAATTATTCTGTTGATTTGTTTATTCCTCTCTGTTGATATTAAAAGTGAAGTATCTACTGTGTAAACATCCAACTCTGCTAGACTGATGCGCATCTCGAATTCCTATATATAATTGCCGATTTTCGGAGTCTTCGTAGTTACGTATTCTAACAGTGGGTCGTCGCAATGTCTGTCGTAACAAAAGGTACGTACGAATCGTATAAATTTGATTGTATCTATTTTTTTGATCAAGGATTCTATGACTGACGTTATTCATCGCACAAGTGTTTTAGTGATTTCTACAAATTCAAGAAGAAAGTACATATATTTTAGAAATCCGTCCGTTTTTCTAGTCGCACTTGTTATTACTTCACCAGTAAGCTTTCACGGCACAAAGAAAAGATACAAGTAAATATAAAAAAATGTAGTTTAAAAGTAATGTATGTGGCGTGTGCAATAAGTTACATATGTGTGTATGCACTAGGTACACACAAATTCCAGACATTCAAAGACTTATTAATTTGTCCTTTAATCTGCCTTCTTTAAGCTTTTGACGTTTGAATGAAAAAATCATACAGGTAGCTTTTATATAAAGAAAAATAACAGAAATAATGCATGAATACAATTGAAAATGAACATAGACTTGATCAATTCTGCTCGAATCTCTTGAAACAAGCCATCAGGAATCATCTACCAGCAGTGCACATCACTTCAAAACGCCTTGTTTTTGTATATTTTAAATACACTAGCATGGAAAGTAATCCATGTAAAAATTCTGTGTAGTACAAAAGTCTTAATATTCTTAAAAGGCGAAAATTTTGCAGTTTTTTAAACAAATTCTTCTTTCATGTCTCATTGCAAATAATCAAATGTATAGCGCGAATTTAAAACGCGCGCATAACTATGATAATCCACTCTTAAAAAAGGTATGTTATCTGAAAGTATCGAAGTTTATTGTTGCCGTTTTTCTATGATGCCAAATCATTCTTTCGTGCTGAGTTCATTTCGTGAGCGGCTGTCATTGCAAAGTTTTTGACGATTGTACGTTTTTTATAATTTATTGTAATTAAAAAAATAAATGTCGTGCGTGTAGCGCGTGCTTGTAGTGTAATATAATATGAATAACAATAGATAAACATACATTAGTACATATTGCGTTTTTGGCCAAAATTTTGCTAAAAATTATTAAATTATTATAAGAATGTTTCTACGAATTATCTACTAAAATATAAAATTAATAGATAAAATTAAAGTATAAGAAAAGAAAGAAAATATCTTGTTTTTTTTCTAAAAGTTATTGGATATTAATTGAACTTCTTGTTCACACAGGTATCTTCATCGTCGCCGCAAAACACACCCCATTTGGTAAAATAGGTGGTGTGTTTAAAAATAAAAGCGCAATTGACTTGTCGGTTGTTGCCTCAACAGCAGCAATTCAAGCAGCAGGATTAAAACCGGAGAAGATTGACAGTGTTGTATTTGGAAATGTACAAACGGTATGTATGTGTTATATATATGTATATATAATTAACAATTTTTATAATAAATACCT